CACCTTGCTTTTTCAGACCGATGAGCTTTGTAAAAATCGACGCGTTTCAGAAAGGCGGGACATAGAGGAGAAACTATAATGTACAGTATTTGGAAAATAATGTTTTTTGAACCTTAAACCGCATAAACACATTTCATTACACCAAATATACCAAATAAAGTTCTTTTTAGCAGCATCATATGACCCCTTTAATTATAAACAATATAACAAGGGTATGTAAATGTCTGATGACTCAATATGTGCAATGCATCTTTTTTCCTCAAGGTGGCACTGTTTAATACACGATGATGTGACGTTTCACTCATAATTACGGCAGGCATAAAACAAACGAATATCATCAGCAAAAATTGAACTGATTTGAATGGCTTTACTGCAGAACAGTTACTATACGCAATGAAATATAAATGTCACTGTCATTTTTTGCTGGATGTGATGAATAAGCTGCCAGTGATCAAAATATTGAATATGAAGTCATTGAAAACGATAGTTTTGAGAATATGGTTGAAATCGTGAATGTGAGGCAGATGCTGAATGTACTGTGGAAGTGCGCTCTGACGATGACAGCGATGGTAAAATCATCTGCTCAAATTGAACCCTTTTAAGTTTCAAAAGGTAACAAAATATACTTTATTTTATTCTTCTATAATTGTTCTTAAAAGATCAAGAGTTTTTTTGCTATTGCAGTAGTTGGAGATCCATCCGTGTGGGATATATTAGTCTGGGTCGCTAAAGACCCAAATATGTAATAATGATTGGTGAAACATTCATGCATTTAAGGGTTAAAGGGATAGTTCAGCCAAAAAAAAAAATTCTGTCATTAATTACGCACTCATGTCGTTACAAATTAAATAAAGTAATATTTTTATTATGAAATCCAAGTGCTTTTTGACCTTATATAGACAGCAACACAACTGAAATGTTTTGTGGCCCAGAAAGGTAGTAAGGACATCATTAAAATAGTCCATGTTATGATATGAAGCTACGAGAATACTTTTTGTGCACAAAGAAAACAAAAATAATGACTTTATTCAGTGATTTCTGGGTCAGTCTCCGCTGCCATTCACGAGTACGAAGAAGAAGACACATGCGTGTACATTCCTCTGCTTGTAAACAAGGTGCAGTACATGCGTGTTCTACGTCAGAACGCCGGGTCCTGCATCAGCAGCACCACACTGGAAGTAGGGATGTCACGATATCAAAAATCTAGTAGTTGGTACCGATACCACTTAAAGTACATGATATTCGATACCAAGTCGATACCACGGGAAAAAACAACAATAACTTAAACATGAACTCCTTTATTTAACATTACAAAAACACAACATTAGTGGCACTTGGCCTTCAAATAACACACACACACGCATGTACTTGCGTACACACACACACCTATACTCTGAATGCAAGCATTAGTTTAAATTCACTGACATACTGGCAGGCCGAAAATATTTTTTAAACCCATTAACATAAACAACAATTCATGTGCAGCCAGTGGCGGCACTAGGGCGGGGCTTGATGGGGCTATAGCCCCGTCAGAAACTTGCTTAGCCCTGGCACAGCCCCCCCAAAGATTTCCTAATGATATTCCTGGGTTTTTTTTTTTATCTCCCAGTGTCACTTTCATTAACATTGAAAAATAAACATTAAAAATAAAAATAAATTAAATATAAAAAAAAGTGCCTAATATGTGGCCTATAAACAATTGACATTATGGGGGAGGGGTCAATTAGGCACGCATTAGCCAATTAATCAAGTGCGCATTAGCGTTCATTTTAAGTGTAGTATCAACGGCTATCACGATGGAGCGCTATTTAATATCAAGTAAAAGAATTTCAGACACTTTGCAGAATAGCTCAGATGAGAACAATAACACAAGTCGACAGTCTCAAGTCCTCTTTACACTAGTGCGTTTTCGTTTTAAAATGAAAACGATCCTTGTCTACACTTGCGTTTTCACTGCGTTTCAGAAACGTTCTCCGTCCACACTACACAATCGAAAACGCATGTCAAGTTTTTGAGGGTCGAAAACGCCTGAGTAGTGTAAACAACAGGCGTAACCGTAACAAAAGTTATGCGTTTTAAAACTAAAACGCACTAGTGTAAATGTAGCCTCAGTCTGAAGTTCAGGATGGAGAGTCTGTCGTCACACAGAGTAGCAACTCTTAAAACAGAGCTTATGTGGAAATAGTTTTATGAATTGTCAGCACTAAATCTATTGTAAAAAAAATTGTTAGAATTTACAATGTTTTCCTGCCAGTTGGCATCCCCTGTAATTTGTAAGTGTCATATTTGGCAGTTGGCATTAGACGTTATATTACTAATAACATTGGCATATGAGAAGTTTAATACCACAGAAAGAAATTAAAATATGCCTTTTTCAAAGCGGCTGTATATAAAAAAACACAAGGTGGCCGAATTTGCATGCTTAGCTGAAGCTTAGGCATCCATTACTTTCTCTCAATTTAATTTGTTTTTTAGCACCCCCTCTGAACTGTTATGCTCCCTCTTAGCACCCCAACAAAAAAAATCCTGGAGCCGCCACTGTGTGCAGCTCTCGTGCTTTCAGAGCTGCGCACTCTCATTTAAATCTCACACAATCATATTCATATATCATTGCCGGCTTCCACGTTAAGTTCTTCTGTGTGCTTGTAGGTATTTTTTCTTTTTCTTTACCCTTTGAGGACCGACTGAAACAAACATATCTAGGCGTATGCTCTGCTGGTGTTGTGCTGAATTCTGCACCCCTGCCAGATTATGCATTGCTACCTGATTGCCTAATCTCAACCCCACCCCTAATCCTAACCCTCTCCCCCACACCTATTCCTAAAAAAAAAAAAAAAAAAAAAAAAGTATAATTAAATAAAGTAATAACAAAAGAAAAAAAATCCCTACTTTTCTATGTGCGTTCATAAATTGTATTAATTTGTTAGTGTCATATTTGGCACTTGGCATTAGAAGTTATAAACCTACCAATACTAGGGGATGCATAATCTGGCAGGGTGCAGAATTCGGCACGACACCGGCCCCCGTCAGTTCCAAAAGAATTGCAGTCTTGCCAGTCGCTACCTTCGGTACCATCGGTACTTTGCACTACTGAAGAAAAACAAGTGCCGGCAGGATTTAAAAATGTTTATAACGACTTGGTACTGTAGTATCGGTTCTCTTGACATCCCTACCTGGAAGAGAAGAAATCGTTGAATAAAGTTATTTTTGTTTTCTTTGCACACAAAGTATTCTCGTAGCTTTGTAAAATTGTGCTTGAACCACTGATGTCACATGGACTATTTTAACAATGCCCTTACTACCTTTCTGGACCTGGGAATGTTTCAGTTGCGTTGCTGTCTATGAAGGGTCAGAAAGCTCAGATTTCATCAAAAATATCTTAATTTGTGTTCTGAAGATGAACAAAGGTCTTTGGTTTGGAACGACACAAGGGTGAGTAATGAGTAATGACAGAATTTTCATTTTTGAGTAAACTATCCCTTTAAAACATTGTCATGTCAGAGTGTATAATTTATCATTCTAGATTTCCTTTAACAATTAAATGTTTCTACATTCGTTTTATATTTAAAACAAAAATTAGTAAAATTTTTACTGAAACTGTAAGTTGATTTTATGCAGCTTCTGTGCAATGCACCTTTTCTTATATCTAGATGCAGCCTTTGTTGTGTATGAAATCATGAAATGACAGTTGTCACATGTTTAAATTTCCTGCTTCCAAAGGAGGAGAACCATAGAATGTGAATCTTAAATTATACAGGGTCTGTTATACAGCATCTGTATTGTTTGAGTTTTGGGGTTGCACGGTCTCCCCACCCCCTCACTCCCTTTTGAGAATGGCAGCCACTCGAGGGTGTGTGAGTAGGATGAAAATAGGACAAGGCAGGTGTCACTTTCAGCTCTGGTGTAGCGAGACCTTAACTCTGACCTTTTATAGGGGTTACGCAGTAAGAGACACAACAGACCAACAAAAGCAGACACAAACCTACGCTGGTTCCGTCAGTACATCTGAAGACATATTCGTTTTACCCATTATTTCCACTTTTCCACCAACGACAATGAAAGTTTGAGAAAAAAAGCGAATGAGTGGCATTTTTATGTACATTGTCATGGAACTCCTGTTTTGTCAGGAGATAAAAATCAGAAGACTAGTTTCGACCTACAGTTCCATACAGACTCGCAAGTCTTGCTCGCAACCTTTCCTCAAATGTCAAGTCTTCTTTCTACTACATTGCTCAAACATGCTACAAATAGAAGGTCATAGAACAGGATGCCAATCGAACTGCTTCGTGCACAAAATACTCGGAATATGTAGCAACTTCTTAATGAAAGGGAAAAGGTTGTGCAAAGATTCACATGACTGGAGCATCTGACTATCATGCTCATCAAAACCTTTCGGTGATTTATGCAAGAACGCATGTGTAATAAATGGACAGGTCCGTATCCCATCATAGGATCTATCATGCAGTTTAAGGGTGAGTGTGGGTTAGACCGTATCACCCACAGCTCTGAAAAAAGCGTCTCAAGCTCTGGAGGTGGTCAGATATTACCATAGTAACAAATGTCACAGAGGTCACAGTTATTTTCCATTTAATGAAATGATCATATATACCTCTGGCCGATGGATTATACTTGTACTTTATAATAGCTCACCCAGAAATGAAAATTGTCATTATTTACTCCCCCCTATTGTTCCAAACCTGTATAACTTTCAGTTTTTTCCAGAACTTAAAAGAAGATATATTGAAGAATGTTGGTAACCAGTTTTGATTACTTCCATTGAATGGAAGTTGTATTTCTCAAAATCTTTTGTTCCGTCACATGAGGGTGAACATTCTTGGCAGAACTATCCCTTTTAATATGTAATATTTTGTCATGAGCAGCTAATAGTCTTATATTAATAATGATTAGTTATACAGATTCTATCTATACTTTTCAATTATTAACGCTCTTTATTGATGTGTGCTGCTGAAGAATGATTGTTTTGGTGTGTATGTGTGTCTTCTTTTTAGAGCTGACATTGGTTATGATGACTCTAATGACGGAGGAGATGGTATGTGTTCATAATGTCATCCAATAGCTTATTTATCTCAGGTTAAATATAAGAAACATTTGCCAGGTTAGTCGTTTTATGTTTCAGGTTTCTCTGTTATTTTTTCAGCAGATCTTGGCAACCCTAAGTGTGAAGCATTGGAAAATCAAGTGTCTTTTGCACAGCCGGTTATAGTTCAGCCAGAGATTGACATCGAGGTGAGTGAGGTTTGCTTTGTAATCACCATTTCTTAGTGTGGCTGGGATAGCAGGTGGAATAAAATACAGCGTATCGTGAACATACAAAAAAAAAAAGAAGCTTAAAGTTTAAACAAAAGTTTGTTTTCCCCTCCTTACTCTAACCTTTACCAGATTTCCATGACGGTTTTCGTGTGCGGTGTAACAGCAACTTTTATTATCTTTTTTTTTTTTTTTGTGTCAACTCATTGACCTCTATGCTGTCTAGACACTCTTATAGTTTATTTTTGTATGTTGTTACCGTCTGTGCTGGTATACAGTTATTTATCTATCAGTGATGTCTTGTGATCGTTCTCTTTAATCAGCGATTCCATTTGTTTCAGTTTATTCTTATACCCTGTCTGTCACTATTGCAACAAATGCAGAGCTGTAGTGTTTTTCAGAGCAGCCCAGGCTAAAGATAACTCAAGAATCTAGATATAAAAAAACTTTTAACTCATTGATTGCCTATTGTCTATTTAATACTAGCTAAAATTCTGATGATGTGGATTTTCATCATACCTGCATACTCGCATAATTTGCTTGTTAAAATTCCCACTGACATTTCACTGTCCAGATAACCACTTGCTTGTGTCTATTTGCAGTGTGTCAATGTGCAGCTGTTTTAAGTAACTGAACCTGGTATTTACAACAATAGTATCACTATCTGGGTTTCTGGTCTGTGGTCAGCCCTTTACAATAAATTGATAAGACACATTATTATTATTATTATTATTATTAATTTACCTGAGGCCTTTGACTGATAGACCACACAGAAATGGAAGTTCTGTTATCATTTTTGTTCCAAGCCTGTATGACTTTCTATATTCTGAAGAATGTTGGTAACCAAACAGTTTGGTAAACAAGCAATATCAATTAATTCCATTCAATAGGTAAAGAAAAAAATCTTAAAATGTTCTACAGAAGAAAGAAAGTTGTACAGGTTTGGATTGACATGATGGTGAGTAAATGAAGACGGAATTTTCATTTTTGGGTGAACTGTCCCTTGAACTGTTAAGCCTTTAAATATATAAAAATATGATTTTAAAATATATTTAACGATGTAGTTTTTTTTTTTTTTTATTAGTTATCATGCTGACACTATGTCACAGCTTTTTGTAAATTAGCTAAACAATGTCGAACAGTTGTTGGTTAATAACCAACAATGATTTAACCTATGCTCCAGTATATATTATATTAAAAACAAGATGTGTATTTGTTGATATTATTCTTTTCATCTGTCTACCTGAACAGCTCATTGAAGCTTCAGCATCAACTTAGGTAATGTGCATGTGACTTGCTAACTTATTGCTAACTTGTCAATTTCACCCATTCATCGTGTTGCATGTAACATGCATCCTGTATTATGACCCATAATATATGATCTCAAGATCAACCCTGCAGAAGCTATTCGTGTTCATGCTTGGAGTTAAAAAACAAAACAAAAAAACGATAAGCTCAGTGTATGCTATATATTATATTATGTTTATATAAGCAAAAAATATACAGTTAGTGTGATCTTATTTTATGTTGACAGTTCCTGATATTTACAACTTGAGAGAAACTGCTGTGAATTTTTAGAAAACGGTTGGGCTGTTTTATTGGGCTCCTTGGGCTGTTTTCCCATAGAGCATTTTGGCAAGGAGTCATTGGGGGGGGAAACTATAACTGAAGTAAACCCACACAAAACTGTCAAAGTTT